CCTCCCTTAAACTAACCCAATTTTTATCCATATCTCCCTTATTAAGGCCTGTTTCCCACTGTTCTTCTCTTTCAGGTTCTTTCTTTTCCTTTACCTCCCTGGTTCCTTTCCATTATCCTGGTTCCTGTAGTTATGTCTGGATACATACTCACTTATCAGAGTTTGGTTCTAGGATCCACATAAAAGGGAGAAAATATGTCGATATTTTCTCTGAGTCTGTGTTACTTCACTTAGTATAACAGTTTCTAGTTCCATCCATTTACCTGCAAATTTCATGATTTCATCTTTACTGCTGAGTAAAACTCCATCGTATAAATGAACCACATTTTCATTATCCATTCATCAGTTGATGGAGACAGTGGGGTATTGAAGTCTCCTACTATTAATGAGTTGGGATTAATCTGGGTCTTAAAGTCCTATAGTATTCTTTTTATGAAGTTGGGTGTACCAGAACTTGGTTAATATGTGTTCATGATTGTAGTATCTTCTTGATTCATTGTTCCTTTGATGAGAATGAAGTGGCCCTCTTTATCTCTTCTGATTAGTTTTAGTTTAAAGTCTATTTTGTCAGATATTAGAATTGCAATACCTGCTTTTTTCTTAGTACCATTCTCTTGGTATTTTTTTTTTTTCCATTCTTTCACTTTAAGATAGTGTCTGTCCTTCAAAGTGAGATGAGTTTCTTGCAGACAACAAAAAGATGGGTTTTGTTTCTTAATCCATTCATATAGTCTGTGTCTTTTGACTGGGGAGTTCAGTCCATTAATGTTTAAAGTTATTAATGAAAGATGAGTATTGAATCCTGTCATTTTTATTTCTGTTTAGATTCTTGATATAGCTGTACTTTTCCACAGTTATACCTTCATTGAATTTCTTTTCACAACCCCTTGGGTTTAGTCATTCCTTTCTAAAGCTCTTTGTATTGTTTCCAGAACTCTCTGAAGGGCTGGTTTTGTGGACATGAGTTCCTTCAGCCTATATATGTCATAGAAGATTTTTCTTTCCCCTTCGACTATAATAGATATTTTGGCTGGTTATAGTAATCTAGATTGGCATCTGTGGTCATTTAAAACTGGAAATACTTTGGTCCAGGCTCTTCTGGCTTTCATAGTTTCCACTGAAAAGTCAGCTGTAATCCTAATGGGTTTTCCTTTATATGTGACTTGTTGTTTTTCTTTTGCAACTTTCAGTATTGTCTCTTTGTTTTGTACATGTAGTGTTTTTGCTATGATGTGCCATGGAGAGTTTCTTTTTTTGGTCCTGTTTGGTGTTGCATATGCTTCTTGTATTTGTATGGTCATGTCTTTCTTTATTTGTGGGAAATTTTCTTCCATGATTCTGTTGAAGATCTGGTCCATGCCATTATCTTGGGATTCTTCTCCTTCTTGTATGCCTATGATTTGTAAGTTTGTTCTTTTTATGGTGTCACA